CACTGGGGGATTCTAGGCAGGGGCTCTACCACTGAGCCACGCCCCAGTCCCTCACTGGGGGATTCTAGGCAGGGGCTCTACCACTGAGCCACACCTCCAGCCCCTCACTGGGGGATTCTAGGCAGGTTGTGCAGCACAGAGCCGTATCTCCAGCCCCTTCACCAGTATTTATTCTGAGACATTGTCATTAAGTTCCCCAGGCTGAAGTTGAACTCACTCTGTAGCCCGGTTGGCCTTGAACTTGTGATCGTCATACATCTCCAGAATAGCTGGAAGTACAGGTTGCATCACCAGGCTTAGGCCACTAAGTGATTCTTTTACTGTCCGTATATGAATGACAGCATGTACCTGCTTTGGTGACTGAAGTCTTCAGTTGTTGTTACTTCAGAGTGAGTCAATAAAGCAAGGGACCTGCCCATGAGCTCATCCAGCCATGGGGCAGATTCAGCTCCCTGTGGGTTTGAGCAGGCAGCGAATGAATCGGGAGGGCACAATGCTGTGCCCCATGAACCCTGCCTCTTTAAGGTCTTCAATCAAGCCAGTCACACTCCCGTTCTTCCTCTGTACATCCTCACCTTCTGCAGACCAGCATAGGATGCTCCATCAGCTGCTCATCCAGGCTTCTAGTACCTCCTGCTAATGGCCACCCCGCCCTTCTCTCCCTTCCAGATCACTGCCCATCCCGGGCATCATCTAATAGCCCTGCAAGGGGACTCCTGAACCTCAGAGGCATCCGGCAGCACCAAGAGGTGAGTCCCATTTTCAAAGGCTCCTCTCTTCCCTGGGTTCCTGTGCCAGGATATTCCCCGAGGTGTGATACACTGATGGGAACTGACTTGCCTTTGGGCTGTCCCCTTAGCATCCCCTTGGCCTGCCTTTCCCTGCCTGGTGTAGCTAGTGTCCACTGATCTCTCTCTCTCTCTCTCTCTCTCTCTCTCTCTCTCTCTCTCTGTGTGTGTTTTTTTTTCTAGCTCTCTCTCTCTGAAACAGACTTCTCTATGTATCCCTGGCTGGTCTGGAACTTAATATGTAGGCCAGGCGACCCCCAAACTCACAGAGACCTTCCTGCTTCTGCTGGGATCAACTGTGTGTGCCTCCGCTCCTGGTTACTCTCTTTAAAACACATGTGTATGTGTGTACAAAAGCCAAAGAAGATGCTGTAACTGGAGTTATGGATGGCTGTGAGGTGACTGATCTGGTGCTAGGATCCCTACTTGAGTCTTAGCTGCTGAGCCGTCCCTCCAGCCCCTGATTTCTCTGGTGAAGGTCTTTCCTGTTGAGGGGGCATGGCAACTCTGGTCATGGAGTAAGAGACAGGGAGTGAACTCGGGGTCTCTGGCATGCATACAGCCTGGTTCTGACCTCCCTCTGCCCCTCTCTCCCCAGAGTCTACAGGATTGAGGTCGTCTCAGCTCTGGAAACTTCTGTCTCTTCCTGTTACAGTGAGTCGTTGTCTTCCCCCTAAGAGGTGGTACAGGAGGGGACAGCTGGGGACTGAAAGGACTCCTCAGTTCTGCTCCGGGCTTGGGGGCTATCCAGCAGCCATTTCCTCCCGTGGACCTTGGCATCCTCAGTGACGCTCTGAGCAGCAGGGACACCAGCGTGGGATCCAAGCCCCGCCTTCTCTCTGCTGATGAACTGAGCAGGAGCAGCGGCGGCCAGCACCCACCTGGCCCCATGGCCCTGCCCCCACAGCTCTCCTTCGCCCTCTACGTGTCCGCCTTCGCACTGGGCTTCCCACTGAACTTGATGGCCATCCGAGGCTCGGTGGCCCACGCGAGACTGCGCCTCACCCCCAGCCTGGTCTACACGCTCCACCTGGGTTGCTCCGACCTCCTCCTGGCCATCACTCTGCCCCTGAAGGCCGTGGAGGCCCTGGCTTCCGGGGCCTGGCCCCTGCCTCTCCCCTTCTGCCCTCTCTTCGCCTTGGTCCACTTTGCTCCCCTCTATGCAGGTGGAGGCTTCCTGGCTGCTCTCAGTGCGGGCCGCTACCTGGGGGCTGCCTTCCCCTTCGGGTACCAAGCCATTCGAAGGCCCCGCTATTCCTGGGGCGTGTGTGTGGCTATTTGGGCCCTTGTCCTCTGCCACCTGGGCCTGGTCCTTGGCTTAGAGGCCCCTGGAGGCTGGCTGGACAACACCACCAGTTCCCTGGGAATCAGCACACCTGTGAATGGTTCCCCGGTCTGCCTGGAAGCATGGGATCCCAACTCTGCCGGCCCCGCCCGCCTCAGTTTCTCCATCCTGCTCTTCTTTCTGCCCTTGGGCATCACTGCCTTCTGCTATGTGGGCTGCCTCCGGGCCCTGGTCCACTCAGGTCTGAGCCACAAGCGGAAGCTCCGGGCAGCTTGGGTGGCCGGAGGCGCCCTTCTCACACTCCTGCTCTGCTTAGGGCCCTACAATGCCTCCAATGTGGCTAGTTTCATAAACCCGGACCTAGGAGGCTCCTGGAGGAAGTTGGGGCTCATCACAGGGGCCTGGAGTGTGGTGCTCAACCCACTGGTCACCGGCTACTTGGGAGCAGGTCCCGGCCGGGGGACAGTGTGTATGGCAAGGACCCAAGGAGGAACAATGCAGAAGTAGCAGCCACCTCTGGGGGCAAGGGGCGTTGACTTGGGTGACTGCCAGGCCCCCAAGAGGGCTGCCCCTCCACGACCCAGGAGCAGCCTCGCCCAAAGCCATCACAGAAACCACTCATGGGAAGGGCTGCACCTGGAGAGAACAGTGTCCTTGTACGAAGAAGAGAGTGGAGGTCAAGAACGGGAACGGGACAGTACACCTGCCGGATATATCCCAACTTGCCTCCTGTTTCTGTCCCTTACGTCCTAACCACCTGCCTGCCGTAGGCTGTGAGCAGCCCTGCACTCCTGGGGATGAGGAAGAATACCACCATAGTGATCCGATTTTGGAGTGTTTCCCGGAAATGATTTTTGAGGGAAGAACATTTTCATTTCTGAAGAAAGGCGGCAACATCATGACCCTGCCATACCCCTTTGAACCCACTAGAGGGCAGCATTTGAGTTGACAGCAGAAAGCAAGCTGGACAGACGCAGGGGATTTGCAGACCTGAGCTCCAGCAGAGGCGAGGCATATTGGAACTGTGGGAGTGTCTCATCACGCCAGTTGTGTCCCTCATCTTCATCCAACCCTTCCAAGTAGAGTAGCCCTGTGTGTGTGTGTGTGTGTGTGTGTGTGTGTGTGTGTGTGTGTGTGTGTGTGTGTGTGTGTG